GGTGACCCCCAATTTCATGTACAAATTGAACATAATTAAAGTATAGTGATTAATCACAAAAACAATATGTAATTATGTATGTGTTTTCCGGTGGTCTTAGGCATCCCCTGTGAAAGGTCTTTCGACTCCCAAAGGGGTCGCGACCCACAGGTTGAGAACCGCTGACCTAGGGTTCAGGTCCTTAAGCATAAGGACACAGAAGCCAGGCCAGGGGCACAGTGAAATGGTAAAAGACATCTGAAGGGATCTGAGTGGAACACACAGCCTCACACTAAACTCAGTCCTGAATCTTCACCAATCCCATGTGCCCTCTCTGAGTACACTGAGCATGCTCTATTCCTTACTGCACTGTACCTATGGTGGAGGCCAATAGGTCTAATGGGTTTCATGTATCACATTTTTTTCAAAAGTTTTTTTTTTTAATTTTCTTTATCCATAATTCTTGTAACTTTTCTACTCTTTGCTCTATAATAAAAGGAGTCAGTGTTGACCATGGATCCTTTGTTGTGGCCTCTCTCTTCCTTATTTTCATTTTGATTCATACTTCATTGGCCAATTAGGAGGTAACAATTTATCAGGGTAGCTCATCCTTCATGGGTTCCTCAAATTCTTTCATCTTTGAGATTGTTTTCATATTCAGGATGCCTTTTGTGATGAAATGAAATCCTATCTGAGAAAAGTATTTGGGGATCAGACTCTCCTCTTAACATAGTAACATATTGCTGTGGAGTATTCTGACGCCAGCCTGCTGGTTTCTCCCTTAAAAAGTGTTTGTTTTCTACCAAATACCCAAGTAGTTTGCTTCAACTTTGAATTTCAATAATTTAACCAGAATATATCTCAGTGTTGAGCAATGAATCAAACTTTTCCAGAATTTTGCTGTTTTTCAGATTTAATTTTTGCTTTAGTTCAGGAAAATATTTTGTTATTTTTATATACAGTTTCTAATTGTTCATTTTGAGTTTTCTTCTTCAGAAGCACCAATTTGCTTTTCTCTTGGCTTTTTTCGAATTGTTTAATGGCTTTATCTTCCCATTGATTGTTACTATGAGAACCAAGTTTTTCTTCTACATATGTCATTTGATATCACTGTATTACAATAGTAGTAGTAAACAAGACTTATGATTGTAGATAGTTATATTGACTGTTTTAGTTACACATTTAAAATACATTAATTGTAATTCGGCTAATCAATGAAATCCAAGTGGAAAAATAACACTATGTGTTTTTGTTTTCTTTTCCTTGCCATAGGGCATTATGGACATCAAAGCATATTTTGAAAGAATTGGTTATAAGAACTCTAGGAACAAATTGGACCTGGAAACATTAACTGACATTCTTCAGCACCAGATCCAGGCCATTCCCTTTGAGAACCTTAACATCCATTGTGGGGAACGCATGGAATTGGGCTTGGAGGCCATTTTTGACCAAGTTGTGAGGAAGAACCGGGGTGGGTGGTGTCTCCAGGTCAATCACCTTCTGTATTGGGCTCTGACCACAATGGGCTTTGAGACCACAATGCTGGGAGGGTATGTTTACAGCACTCCAGCTGACAAATACAGCAGTGCTATGATCCACCTCCTGCTGAAGGTGACCGTGGGTGGCAGGAACTACATAGTTGATGCTGGGTTTGGACGCTCTTACCAGATATGGCAGCCTCTGGAGTTAATTTCTGGGAAGGATCAGCCTCAGGTGCCGTGTATCTTCCGCTTGACAGAAGAGGGAGGAACGTGGTACCTGGACCAAATCAGAAGAGAGCAGTACGTTCCAAACCAAGAATTTCTTAATTCTGATCTCCTGGAAAAGAAAAAGTACAGAAAGATCTACTCCTTTACACTTGAACCTCGAACAATTGAGGATTTTGAGTCCGTTAATGAATACCTTCAGACGTCTGCAGCATCTGTGTTTACAAGCAAGTCATTCTGTTCCTTGCAAACCCCAAATGGGGTTCACTGTTTAGTGGGCTTCACCCTCACCTTTAGAAAATTCAATTATAAGGACAATATGGATCTGGTGGAGTTTAATACAGTGAATGAAGAAGAAATAGAAGAAGAGCTGAAAAATATATTTAATATTTCCTTGGAGAGAAAGCTTGTGCCCAAACACGGTGATAAATTTTTTACCATTTAGAATTAGGAGTAGAAATGGTCTTCAGTATTATTTCAGGTACTGAAACTTCTTACCATAAAAATTTCAAATAAATGTAAAAGTAGAGAGAATAAAATAACAAACCCCTATTTATCACCAATTTTACCAGCTATCAACTGGCAGCCTCTCTCTCAAATTTCCTTAGTGACCCCACATGATATTAAAGAAAATCTTAGACATCCAATCATTTTCAACCTTAAAAATGTTAGCACATGTGGTTAGAAAACATTTAAAAGAAACAGAACCACATGTCTTTTCAAAATTAACAATAATAAAGGTATTTGAAAGGTTTTCGTGGGAGAGAATAGTGATTTCTGCTAGAAAAGCATCCATGCTGGTTGAATGTTGAATTCATAAAAAATGTTTACCCATGGTTCAGTAAATGGAAAATTGAGAAAATAGTTTTTATTAAACTCAACATGGATATGTGCCTATCTTTAAAATTCCACATATGTAATTTAGGATTAGAATTCAACAGAGAAGAATGAGGCATGATATTGCTTCCTAATAGTTCTCAAGACAAGGCTTAAAACAACACATAGTAATTTGTGATTAAGCACTCAGAGAGAGACACCGCTAATAATTTCTTACATGGTGCTTTTGCAACCACAGTTCTTTAGCATTTCCTTAATATAGATACACTGATATTTAGAAATTTTCAAATCCCTGAATTAAGTCATTTTGTCTAAAAGTAAAAATGATAGTGAATTTTAAAATACTTATCTGTAAAAAATTGATGTCTACAAGTATGTTAAACATTGTTGGCTAATACGATGTCAGTCATGAAGTGTGTGTTTGGCAGAGTTAGGAGACGATGGGCTAGGACTTCCTTGCATCCACTTTCTTATCTCCCAGTTACTTTCTTTTACTTCCTCCCATACTTTGTCGTAAGAGTGTATAGACCTGAGTGCAGATCCTGTGGACACTGGGTGAATTACTTCATGAATCTGTGGCTCTGATCCCTCGGAGGTAAAATGGGGATAATCCTATATAAAAGGCGAATATGCAAATAGACCAAATGGTGGAACAACCAGTTGCTATGACGTGCACTGACCACCAAGGGGCAGATGCTTAACACAGGAGCTGCCCTCTGGTGGTCAGTGCACTCCCACAGGGGGAGCACTGCTCAGCCAGAAGCCTGGCTGACCGCTGGTGAGTGTAGCAGTGGTGGCGGGAACCTCTCCAACCTCCGCAGCAGTGCTAAGGATGTCCAACTGCCCTTTAGGCCCGCTTCCCCGAAGCGAGTGGGCCTAAGCCGTCAGGGGGACATCCCCCGAGGGCTCCTGGATTGCTAAAGGGCGCAGGCCAGGCTGAGGGGGACCCTCCCCCCAAGTGCACAAATGTTGTGCACCGGGCCTCTAGTACTTACATAATTAAGTGCTAGACAAGAGTCAGCGCTCAATAAATATTTGTTATGTGGATGAATGAAGAATGTCAGTAATGTCTTTGATACCGAGTCAGCATTTGATGAAAGTTCTTCCATCCTGCTTTATTTCCCTAGCTTGAATCCAGTCCTGAATCTGCCTGCTTCTTCTTTGATTAAATATGAAGATGATATCAGATGGCCCCAATCTGACTGTGGCTTTGTGCTTCAGAATTGGAATCTTTCTTATCTATAATTCACATTTTCTGTTTGTGAATTCCAGAATCAGGGCTATAATTTCAACTGCAGGCTTGTTCTAACAGTATTCTCCCTTTTTAACTTGTGATTATCATAATGATAATGAAAAAAAATAAAATGGAATAAGCATTGCTAAGAGAGGCACTTAAAATAGAGTCAGGAGGCTATGAAGGAAGTGGGGCCCCGGCAGCCTGCCCACAGCTTGTGCCTCAATTCTCTGAGCTTCTGTTAAGTTACTAACCTGTTGCTAACTCAGCTCCAGGATGAGCCATAAACACCCTTGAACAATTGCTAAATGGACACATATGAACTTTACTTCCTCCTTGTAGTTTTTGCTTTCCTCATTTGCATATTGAAACCAATCAATCCCTGGTAACCTAAATCAGCAATCCCTCATTTGCATGAAAAAATTACACATTTTGGGTTTTGCCTTTATAAACCCTGTTTTCTTTATTCTCTCTAGAGTGCAGTTGGGTTGCTCCCTGAATTTGCATCTCTTAGACTGGAATCCTTTTGCTCAAGTAATTGCCTTTTGTTCAATTTTGCAGCCTGAACCTCTTCTTTAGTTAACAGTAAGTTTAAGAGAAAAGCAGTGGCTAGAATGGAAAAATGTTTGTTAAAAGAATAAGTTACTTTGGATGATGGGTACTTCATGTACTGATGTAACAGTTGGGAGATACTGCTCAGGGTGGAGATCCTTGGGAGAGGTGGATAGGAGACCTGGCAAGAGCTTGTTAATAAAGTCACTCGGTTGATGCCAGAACTAAAGAGGGTGTCAAGAGAGAAGTCTGCCAGCCTGGCTACTCTGGTTGCTGCCTCTCAGGCCAGCATGGGAGCCGTCCTGGAAGCTTATCAGACTAACAGGTAGAAAGATCTCACAGCCCTTAGCTGGTTTAGCTAAGTGGTTAGAGCATTGGCCCATGGACTGAAGGGTCATGGGTTCGAACCCAGTCAAGGGCAGGTATATCAGTTGCAGGCTCAATCCCGGCCTGGTAGAGTGCGTACAGGAGGCAACTAATTGATGTCTCTCTCTCTCTTGCATCGAAGTTTCTCTCTGTCTGTCCCCTTCCTTTCCACTCTCTCTAAAAATCAATGGAAAAAATATCTTTGGGTGAAGATTAACAAAAAAAGGAAAAAGAAAAAAAAGAAAGGCCACACAGATACCACCAGGCAGGCATCAGCAGCACCCTGCCCACCAGTGGGTCCCAGCAGCAGTGGCCCCGGAGAAACCAGGGTAACCTCTGCTGCAGGGGAACCAAGAGCTCAGGTCCCTGACACACATCGCCCTGTTGTTCTTACATCGCCCTCCATCTTCAACCACGCCCAGTGGGCAGGGGCTTCTCATTCACTTGTTTTGTCTACACCACTAAACTATGAGTTCCTTTAGGAAGAAAAATCCAAGTGCTTAATAAATCCAAGTGCCTAGTGGGCAAATAGTTTTGGCAATAAGACAAACAAATAAAACCTTAATTGTGTGTGAATTCTTCCTTGTGGATTAGTACATGAGCCAACTCCCAACTTCTGGAATCAGTCATTCGGGTGCGGGGCCTCTGTAATGTCTCCCTAAGGCACAAATGCCTGTGGTTTCATCTTCCCATCACCTTAGCCAATCTATTCTATTTGGTCTTTTCTTTGCAAAGAGACCAATGACAGCTCACACTGGCATTTATCTTTAAGGCAGTGGTTCTCAATTTATTCTTACTTTACCCCTAATAGGACATTTGGCGATATCTGGAGACATCTGGTGATATCTGGAGTCATCTTTAGTTATCACAATTGGGGGAAGAGGTGCTACTGGTATCCAGAAGGTAAAGGTCAGCAATGCTGTTAACATCCGACAAGGCACAGGCCAGCCCCCACAAGAATTACTCATGCCAAAATGTCAATACAGTCATGCGCCACTTAATAATGGGGACGTGTTCTGTGAAAAGTTTATTAGGCGGTTTTGTCATTGTGCAAACATCATAGAGTGCACTTACCTAGATGATAGAGCCAACTATACACCTAGGCTATATGGTATAGCCTATTGCTCCTAGGCTACAAGCCTGTACAGCATGATACTAAACAGCACAACACCAGATTAAATCAAGCACAAGAGAAAATGAGGCAATCAAGAGACGCAGTGAACTTGAGATGTATGAGGCTGCTGCAGGCGTAACAAGGCATTCTGTTTTACAGCAAACTTTTTTTACTAAGTAGAAACAGTATGCTCTAAAATAACCTTAAAAGTATAGTATAGTAAATCCATAAACCTGTAACATCATTATTTAATATCAATAGCAAGTATTATGTGCTATAGTTTTACATGACTGACAGTGCAGTAGGTTTGTTTAAACCAGCATCAGCACAAACAAGTGAGTGATGCAACAACATAAAGTCATTTGGTGACAAGCATTTTTCAGCTTCATTATAATCTTACTAGAGGCCCAGTGCACAACAATTTGTGCACCCCGGGGGGGCGGGGGGTGCCTCAGCCCGGCCTGTGCCCTCTCGCAGTCTGGGACCTCTCGTGGGATGACCACCTGTTGGCTTAGGCCCGCTCCCTGGCGGATAGGGCCTAAGCTGGCAGTCAGACATCCCTCTGGCAGCCGGGGAGCCTCGGGGGATGTCCACTTGCCAGCGGGGAGCAGGCTTAAGTTGCAGTTGGACATCCTTAGTGCTGCTGAGGAGGCGGGAGAGGCTCCCCCCACCAACGCTGTACTGGTAGCCGTCAGCCTGGCTTGTGGCTGAGCAGAGCTCCCCCTGTGGGAGTGCACTGACCACCAGGGGGCAGCTCCTGCATTGAGCGTCTGCCCCCTGGTGGTCAGTGTGTGTCATAGTGACCAGTCATTCCCAGTTATGCTGTTAGGGTCAATTTGTATATTACCCTTTTATTATATAGGAGTGCCTGGCCAGCCTGGCTGAGGGGCTGATGGTTGTTTTCAGGCTGGCCACACCCCCTTCAGGGTGGGCGGGGCCTGCTGGGGTGCCTGGCCAGTCTGGGTGAGGGGCTGATGCCTGTTTTCAGGCTGCCCACAGCCCCTTCAGTGTAGGGGTCCCCCCTGGAAAGCCTGGCCAGCCAGGGTGAGGGGCTCATGGCTGTTTGCAGGCTGGCCACAGCCCCTTCAGGGTGGGGGGTCCTGCTGGGGTGCCTGGCCAGTCTGGGTGAGGGGCTGAGGGCCGTTTTCAGGCTGGCCAAGCCCCCCAGCAGGGACCCTTACCCCATGAGGGTGTGGCCACCCTGGGTGAGGGGCTGATGGCTGTTTGCAGGCTGGCGACGGCCCCCAGCCACCCAAGATCCCAGTGGAAGCTAGCTGGAAGCAGGTATCTGGGATTTATTTGTCTTCTATAATTGAAACTTTGTTGCCATGAACGGAGGCCACAGCCGGCTCAGCACAGGCAGGAAGCTTGGCTTCCTCCATCACCAGGGCAACCATGCCTCCTGCTTGCTCTAGCTCCGTGGCTGCTGGCCGCCATCTTGGTTGGGTTAATTTGCATATAGTCGCTCTGATTGGCTGGTGGGCATGGCTTGGGGCGTAGCGAAGGTACGGTCAATTAGCATCTTTGTCTTTTATTAGTGTAGATGGGACCACTGTATATGCCATCCATTGACTGAAATGTGGTGTGCACATGACCGTAGT